AAACTAAACCCCCACCAATAAAATCTAATGGTAGAATTTTTATACACCCATTGATAAAGCTAATATAATTAATAAACACTTTGCAGAAATATCACATATTGATGTTAGCACAGAACCCCAACTACCCCCTCATGGGCTAGGTCTACCATATTCGATAAACACAATTCACATTACACCCCAAAAAGTGGAGGATCAATTTCAAAATATTAACCCATCTAAACCCCCAGGACCAGATAATATTTCTCCATGTATACTGAAAAAATTTATTATTGGCATCTGGTGAATAATTACATGTCAACAGATGGAATTTGCAACCTGGCATGGCAGGAACACTGTGTATGCAATAGCCATCTTGATTAATCCAATTAGCTAATTAGCCAATCAGATTGAAGGAACCTATACTGAAATCTTATCTTGCTCAGAGGTATCTCAATTATTCACTTTTTTGTTTTAAGAGCTGCTGGACGCACCTAAATCTTAACAAGAATTCAATTTACCCACCCACCATCACCCTAAAAATTGATTTATATAAAATCGGTTGTCATAAATTACAAACAAACTGTACCTTTTTGTTTCTGTCTTGTACATTTATTATTACTGCATATTATTACTTTATTTTTCCTCGACACAACTTAAATATAATATTCTATTTTTAATCTGTGTCTCAAATTGTAATTTCATCATTCAACACGTGTTTCAAATTACAATTGTATCACATTATTTTTTACTTATGTTATAATGTTAGTACATGTATTTCTGTTGTTGGGCGGTTTTTTAACCCCACCTTTGCAAATTTATTGTCATTTATTCAATTATTTTTGGTTAATCAATGTTTGACATTAATTTCATCATTTGATCAAATATATTTTATGATAAATTGAATAAATGACCTTTCTCACAAACAGAAGTTGTTCTGTTTTTCATTGCAAATGAACTCAGACTCACTGGAGAACATAACTGGTTGTTTCATGTTGACAAATAAATGGTATTTTATGGAAACATGATATGGAATGAAATTTAAAGTTTTCAAGTTATTGGAAAAATTTGGGTGACAAAAATATAATTCCTTCTAACACTGCACCACTAGCTGAATTGTTAAATGCATCATTAACCAGCAAACAGCTTCCCCATATATGGAAACTATCAAATATTACACCAGTTTATAAAAATAAAGGTAGTCCTAAAGAACCAGGAAATTACAGACCTATTGCTTTAACTAGTGTCCTATGCAAGATTATGGAAAAATTATATTCAAACATCTCCATAACTATATGATGGATCATAATCTTTTATCCAAGAATCAGTTTGGATTCCAACCTGGAGACTCCACTGTAAATCAGCTTTTAGAGATATACAATACTATTATAAACAGTTTTGACCAAGGCAAAGATGTAAGATTTGTTTTCTGTGATATATCCAAAGCATTTGATAAGGTCGGGCATAAGGGATTACATGTATTTTATAAGCTTAAGCAGAATGGTGTTGTAGGAAATATATTGGACTGGATTGAAAACTATCACAGATTACTGATCGTGAACAAAAAGTTTTATTAGAAGGGTACTCCTCAGTTAGAGAAAGTATAAATTCAGGCGTTCCACAGATCTGTATTAGGACCATTCCCTTTTTGGTATATATCAATGACATAACTGAAGATCTGGAAAATAAAGTTAGGTTATTTGCAGATTATACTTCTCTGTTTGTTTGTAATTGTAGACTCTGATACACAAGCCCCTACCCTCTCTTTGATTAATGACTTGTATTACAATCCAATGGCGGTTGGTCTGAGCATATTTCCAAGATATGTGATCAAGCATGTCAACGTTTAAATGTTCTGTGTTGTCAGAGAGGGCCTGGAATGGTTTTCAATCAATCGTGACGATGACGTTAACGCTAAACAGAGTCATGTTACGAGCGGGTTATTCGTCCTGCCATCTCTTAAATCGCCACCTTACTACCCCCAAAACCGCCTTTTTTACAGTAGACTATTATAATCATTACATTCACACGAAAAATGAAAGAAAACAATTCCGCAATTAGGTTTTTTGAACCGGTCAACTTACTGAACATTGTGTTCCTCTCACTGGCGCATGCGCGCGTCGTATGACTAATTTTAGGCGTAGTAACCCATGCCCAATATAGCCAGGGATTGAAAGATAAACACTGATGTATTCCATGCAAAGGAAAAATAAGGCTCGTGAAAGATGAGCGTGAGAGACATTGAAGATAATGAGAGTTTTCAATTTTTACTTTTGGGGGGTATCGTCGTATGGGCTTCAATAACTCATTAATTATTAAACATAATCAAATGGGATTTTGGTTATATATGTTTGAAAGATGATTTTAAAAGTTAGATAGGAATACTGAAAAAAATTACAAGAGAAATAAATTTAATTCACCTCCAAAGTTTACCCTGCGTTTATTTTTCCTTTCAGTATAGATGTCCTCTAAAGAACAAGGTCTATTAAGTAAATATATATTTAATAAAGAAAAGTTTTTCTTCATTATATTAAATGATAAAAGATATGAACATACGTCATAATATATGAAATAATTCCAGGTATTTCAAGAGCAGCCCACTCTTCTAGAAACATCATGTTTACAGTACAAATGCGTATACATGTATGATGTGCATTAAGCTAAACCTAGAAAAATCAAAGTATTGAAAGAACTGAAAGCCGGGCTTTAATTGCTCGAGTACATTGTCTAATCCGAAATTAGCCCTTATTTTTTTCCTTTTACCATTGGTTTTTATAACAGATAGAGTTTGTATGATTTTGATTTAAAACGAAATCGCATATACCAACCATTGAAATAAACAGTCCAGACCCCGAGATATCACCCCTACTAATGTGTTCGGAACCTTTTATTTTTCAGTGTTCTGCAAATTATATAACACGAGGAGTTCAGAGTAGCTCTGAGAGTGGCTCTGGCGAGAGTTAGCGAGACTTCAGCGAGATAGGGTAAATTATTCACGGAAATGTGGCTAGGAAGTGATTAGCACGTGGAGACATGGTAAACAGAAAAGTTATGTTGCGTTTTAGTTTTCACCACCCTATAATATCATTCTGTAGAAATGTACTTCAATAGATCTCTCTTGAATTCATTCAAGTTTAAATTATAAGTATTCTCTATGATACAATTTCCTGCTGTCATGAATTTCTTTTAGGACAAATATTTTGCATGGGAACCAGGACTATATTTTTTGGCGTCAGATTAGCAAATGAGGCACCAATGTGACCTTAACTGACAAATCAGCTGAATGAGAATTGCATTATGGGTTACTACGAATACTACAGGAATTTTTCGCTTGATAAATTCCTTTATTGTACTTTCGGTGAATACAATTGTCAGGTGGATTCCCTGGCCAACACACGTGATCACGAGTATAGTTGTGTAAAAAACGTTTTGTCCAGCTGCTCGTTTTCCTTACGCTTGAAGTGCTGGTGTTTTGAACTTGACACTAACTACGTATATACATTTTATTTAACATATGTTTTCTAGTTAACAACAAAAAAACACCCGTGATATCTTTCATAGTTTCTAATGTTTGCATTTTGTTCATAAGAACATTTTTTTTAATTTTGCACTCCATTGACATAATCATAGATTGACCTGAACCACGTGTTCGAAGTAACATGTAAACATGTATTTGGCGTAAACGTATTCAATCAACAATTGGTTGGTTACATGTGGTAAGATCCTCTGTGCGCATTAATAGCAATAGCCATATAAGGCAAACAAAGGTTTGTCAGTGTAAATGATATTACACATTTTTTACCAGCGTATCGTTCGCTAGTGAGCTGTTATTTTTGCAGGGAACTATGATAAGATGTATAAACTGTTATTTAACCCCACCCCACCCCCTTTTAGCCAGCCATTTCTGTTGAAAATCATGAAAGTCTTTCAGAAAGGTCTGGAAACAAAATTTTCACAGGACATGTTTTCAGAAGAAACAGACTATAGCAATTTCCTGTTTACTGCCAATTTTATTTATAAAGCTGGTTCTACCCTATAACCTTTGAATGGGTCAACCTAAACCACGTGTCTTGAATTTAAATCACAATAACATTAGTAGGGGTGGATATGTTATGATTTTAAAGTTTAATGAAATCAATAATATTTCCAGGAAATTATCGCATATTTTCCATTCAATAAGCATTTTTTTCTCATGATTTAAAAATACAGTCTTGGAATAGTTAAAATATTGCACATGTTTATTTTATAGGCATTCTTTCAGTTTCAGACAAACTATACTTTTATCGTCAACTACATATAGAAACACAGATACATGTACATTGTCAAGGGACTTCACGCATGCTAATTCTAAATATTCCAATTCACTATACTAGTAATTTGCTAAAAATCAAAACAGAATATAATAACCACTATCATAACATCGACGAAAACGATATGAATCACGAAACTCATCAACAATTCCAACATTTTAAAAAGCCCGCGCTACTGATAATAGTTCGCTTACAATATACACTCAGCAGCGTATGTGTACAAATTGTTATTTCACGATTATCCCAATAAAGCAAATATCTAATTTCTATTTCAGTTTAATTCTCAAACAAAAGTATGGATCATTTACTTTTCCGACGATTAGGATGTTACAAATGTTTGTTTGAATATTGTCTCCCAATGGACTATTTTCTTTATCCGAAGCAACTGATTTGACGCTGTTTTGATTTTTTGTTTACTGTGCTATTTATAGTAAGACAGTCTATCATGATGCCTAGAGCCATGACTTTGCTTCAACAAAACCCGGCTAAAAATGAAAATGATTATTTTGTATTGAAAAAAAAAATAAAAAAAATGATAAACTTGTTAAAACTGCAATTAAGTTTTTCCAATTTTCATTGAGCTTAAGCCATAACCAAAACGTACATGCAAAGATTTATTAGTGACCTCGCTTTTTGTGTAAGTGGTTTTATTTTTATGATTTCAGAACTGAGTATATATTTCCTTCCTTCTGTGTGTAATAAGAAAAGGAAGTAAAATAAATTTATCATACCAGCACATATTCAAATGTCCAAAGAACACTTTAGAAAAGCTAGCATACAGCAAATATTCAAAAACATTATATCCAAGGAGTTGAGAGAAGATATTAAGGATAAGAATGTGATAAGTATCAGGATAAGGTTGATTTTTATTGTACAAATATCGATCGGTATTTTCATGTAAATACTTTTCTTATTTGTGTTTTGAAAATGTACAATTTTTTTAGCAGAACATAAAAAATCGAGACGTGCACTGAACATTATCATGGACCTGAGAAGAGTTTTTGGTAAGCAAACAATATTTGGATATTTAAAACCTCCTTTTTTGCATTTTTTAGCATACAACTTTTCCAAAATTAACATATTGGAAATAAATCGGTGATTTCATATATCTGCAAATATAAAAGTAGATGCTCTTGAATATTATTTGACATATACTAAGACTTGAAGTATATATGTAATTATGTTTATTATACATGTCTATAGTATATGTACTAGCGTGTGCCATGAAATATACCCTTTTGAAAATTAGTGATTAAAAGACCAATACCTCATAACTCGAGCTCATAGTCATGGTGTTTAAAGTTCCCGAGGAAGGTTTTTTTTATGAGAATACACAAATTTCCATGGTTCGAATCCCACTGTGGGACTTGGAGACCGGTCCTTCGGATGAGACCATATAAACCGAGGTCCCGTGTAGCAGTAGGTGCTGGCACGTAAAAGATCCCTCCCTGCTCAATCTCTCAGTGCCAAATAAAAGGTCTGGACAAATGCAGCTCATCATCGGCAAGTGATGGCGTCACCATATGAGAGCAGAAATTCTCGAGAGGGATCTCAAACAACAGACAGACAGACAAACAAACAAATACTAATTTTCATATCGCCCATACAGAGGAGTTCATTGTTATTTTTTTCATGATATTCTCTTTAACATTTCTTTTTCAAGGGATTCTGCTGTTCTTTGTGCCAGTACTCACAACTTCAACCGAAAAGAAGAGTTTGAAAGGGTAAGATAATCTTAAATATCTTTATTTTCATATTTGAAAAAAGTGTTATGAAATCTTAATATCAATTTGACTAGAAATGCTTAAAATCTTTGCCATGGAAGGGGTTAAAGTAATATTAAATTGAATTTAACAGAAATTATGTAGATAATCAACTGATGAGCCAGGTGTTGGATTCTGGATAAACCTAATTACTGTTAAGCTTCATTTGGACAAAATGTTTAAACATTGATCGCATTAGTCAAGTGATATTAAGAAAAAAAAATTGTGGCTATATGTAGAGAAAAAATAAGAATATTTTTACTTTTAATAATTGAGATATCTAGTACATGTGTAATGAAAGAAAATTTCATTCAAGTTTCGTTTTTTTTTGATATTCATGAATGTAAAATATCAATTAATTTGATTAAACTACTGATCTCCTCCTCGTCGACAAGTAAATAAATACTTCATTAGAATACTAAAAAGAGGATTTCAGAATGCAATTATTATACCCCCTGCAAACGAAGTTGGGGGGGGGGGGTATATAGGAATCACCTTGTCCGTCTGTCCGTCTGTCTGTGCAAACGTGTCCGGTCCATATCTTTCTTACAGAGGAACATTAGATTCTACTACTCCACACAAATTCATAATTCGTGTCTGGTCCATATCTTTCTTATGGATAAACTTGGTAGGTTTTAATTTCACACAAAGATTCCTCCTGACCTAAGGATGTGACATGACCTTGGGTCAAAGTTATTTGGGGAAGTTCAAGGTCACTGGAAGAAAAATTTCATAATTCGTGTCCGGTCCATATCTTTCTTATGGATAAACTTAGTAAGTTCTAATTTCACACAAAGATTGCTCATAACCAAAGGGTGTGTCATGACCTGACTCAAGGTCATTTGGGGAAGTTCAAGGTCACTGGTAGAAAAATTTCATAATTCTTATCTGGTCCATATCTTTCTTATGGATAAACTTGGTAAGTTCTCATTTCACACAAAGATTGCTCAAGACCTAAGGATGTGTCATGACCTTGGGTCAAGGTCATTTGGGGAAGTTCAAGGTCACTGGAAGAATTTTTTTTATAATTTGTGTCCGGTCCATATCTTTCTTTATTATGAAAAAACTTGAATCTACTACTTCACACAAACATTGTTTATGACCTGAGGTCGTGTCATGACTTTGAACCAAGGTCATTTATGCAAGTTCAAGGTCACTGACAGAAAAGGTTCATAATTTGTGTCTGGTCCGTATAATTAGTCTTCTTTTTTTATATTAGGCTGCGCCTTCGTTTCATTTATAAAAAATATAATGAGCAATTACATTTGCACAAGAAATGTTTTAGCATTTCTCTCTTCTCTTAGATCCATAAAATATTCATGATTCAGCACTTCTGAAAAACCCAGCGGGAATATTTTGTCCTGTTTGGAAAGTTCTATTTTCTGTAGCAGCAAATGCACAGATGGGTCAGTAAGAATTGTACTGAAATTTATATAAAAAGATATTCAGAATAGAATTTTCATGACTTCCAATCTTTTCTATCCTTTGATTCTTTAGATTTAGTAAAAAAAAATGATCATTTTGCGAATTAGAATCGCACGGTGTATACTAATTCTCTCATATCAAATGAATGATTAACTGCAGATTTGTAGCTCTCCGCAAAAATATATTGACAGACCAGATTTTTTTTCGGAGAGCTTCAGATCTGCAGCTACTGAAAGATATATTTTAACTGAAATTTTACAAAAGGGATAATCTAAACAAACGGTAACATTCATTATTCGTAGCTTTCTCTGTAGATGTTTTTATAATTCTTAATTTTTTGATTTGGATATGAGCCGGGATCGATAGATCCGAGGATTATGTTTTTGTCCTGCCTGTTTGTCTGTCTGTTGTCAACTTTAACCTTCGCCATAACTACTGATGAACCATAGGTGATGGAGACTTCATACATGTATTTGGTATGCATACTCCACTGATTAAGTTCTTTCAAATGACACTAAGGTCAATGACCTTGTGACCTTGACTGTGAACTATATTCTAAAACAGTTTTTTTTAACTATGCCAAGAGCATAGTGTTTCACAAATACATCTTGTTTACTGGTATTGCCTTTTTGTGTGTATATTAAAAAATTGCTCAGAAACTTAATTGTTGATTATTGAAGATGGTAATGTTTTCACTCATCCTGTCTAGATTGCTTATTGCACTAAATAAATGATAATACAGACCAATTATATGTCACTCTGTAATACTACAATTTAAATACCATTGAATAATTAACCAAACAACATTTGTCACTCTGATCATTTGTGCTGTTCTTACGAGAAAAAAAAATATAACTTGAAATTTTTAAAGCTATTGTAGGTCACAAAATAGTTCTGCAGCTTGCCTCAAAACAGTGTGAAAGAGAATGAACCCTGATAATTAACTAACATTATGGATGGATTTCTTTGCAGTACTGGTTGTTTAGAAACAATATTGAAATTTGGATTCAAATACGACGCCTGTGATATCACGGAAAAAGAATTTAAGAATTGGTTTATGGGTACTGTTATAGATATTTTTTTAATATGCATATCACTGCATGTCCTTTGAAAGAAAGACGTACAAGAACATTCTATAAAACTATGCATTGCAAGATGTAATGCATATTATTTAACAAATAAAATTAAATAAACTTTCTTAGGTTATATCGATTGATTGATTGTTGTTTAACGCCCCTCTTGAAATATTTTCATTCATATGAAGACGCCACCTCTTGCCGGTGGAGAGCTGCAAATTAAGCTCAACACTCAGAGCCATTGAGCAGTAAGAGATCTTTTTCGTGCCAGCACATACTGCGACACGGAACCTCAGTTTAAACGGTCTCATGCGAATGACCGGTCTCCACGGCTCACAGTAGGATTCGAAACCGCGACATAAGAATCAACTCCTTAGTTTGCGACTCTAGGGCAGATGCTCTAAACACTGCGCCACACGGGCGACATAAATAAATAAAATAAAATGAAAAAAAAATACAATAATGAATATTTAATATCTTTTTATTATGGTAGAACCTATGGAGTTCCCCTGCAAAGATCAATGTACTTTGGAAGTGGACTTGGATAAATGTAAAGATCAAGGTAACAATGGACATAAAGGAATGGCAATGACCCGTGACAATAGGAAGATTTGGAAGATGTGTTTTAATCAGGGTCCAGTTGACGAAGATGCGTTTATTGAAGTGAAATGTGGCTCAAAAAATCTAAATGGTAATTTGATAAATTTATTATAAATTTTCTGCTCATGTTGGATATAAGTCTCAGAATCTCACTGGAAAACATTATAAGTATTTTTATTTGATATGCATTGTGAAATCTATAATGTACGGCTGTTAAAGATCTGAAAGGAGGTTTCAAGAAAACGGCAAAGGAATCATTCTTGCAAGTTTTCATATAGAAAAATTGAGATAAATGGGATTTCCAATATATTTGCACGATCTTATGAATACTAATGAAAAATAAATCACGTAGAGGCAATTTCATGAAAACTACACTTCATTTCTCCGTATGACCTAGGGGGTAACTATAATATCGTGAGATCGATGTATCATAAGATCGATGCTGTATATAGAGAATAATACACTCATATCCTTTTCCATATCACATCCTGTATCAGCCCGAGACACCAATATCAGCCAGAGGGCCGAAGGCCCGATCGCTGATATTGGTCGAGGGCTGATACAAGTTGTGATGAGGAAAAGGGTATGTTTCATTATGTTTATAATAACAATAATAAGTAAATAATCATGCACGGACACTTCTTACAATGTACAATTTGTCGATAAAAGTATCCTTAAAAAGTTAAAATTAATGTAGTCCGATCCTCAGGTTCATAAAATTAGCAGTTAAGTAATCAAATATACTCATTAAAATATCTCTGAATCCACAAAGTAAGGTAAATTTGCCCACAGTATTTCTTTTAATTTAAACATCAAGGTTAATCATATTATATAGGGAACATTGTCAGATCTCCAGTATACATTCAGAAAAAGCGAAAAGCGAATAGGAATATCAACTATGCATTTTCTAATTGCAAATTGATCAACAAAAATATTTTAGGCTAAAAAACAATAGGTACATGTATCCAGGCATTAAGAGAAACTGTCTTGCTTTTTATACTTATTTTGTATTCTACATGTAGGTTTTTGATACCATTGCAAGACATCGCAAATCACTTCTAATTTCATATAATGGTATATAATAAGTATTGATATCTAAGGTTCAATTCAAGAAAATCTTACTTCTCTAAAACTGACAGGTATTAATTATTTTTCCTTGTATGGGGTACAAATATCAACTTTTTATAAGACATTTTCTAAGACTTCCATAGACCCTGGATCATATAAAGATGAATAAAATAGAAATTGTTACATGAAAAGATATCATTTTCAAGCCTCTTATTGACGCTTTTTAAATTGAATATTATAGTTTTGGAGTTATCCTTCCTAGCTAATGATCGGATATCCTTAAGAGAATTATGTAATCCCTAAAACATGTGTTTGATCACAGGTACTATTTTTTAGGTTAAATTTACTTAGGGCGTGATATTGATCCGTATCAGCCCTGCAAATGCGTATCAGCCCCGCAAATCCATATTAGCCCTGCAGGGCTGAGGGCTTATACGGCTATTGTGACGTTAGCCATCGCATATGCAAAAATCCTGTATTCATTACTAAGTGTGTAATAAAAACATGTATTAAATATTGTATTTGGCATCTTTTCACATACCAGTAATATAGCTATCATCATTAAAAAACATATCAAGAAATATCAATTTATTACTATTTATTTCTACTGTATGCAACTAAATGAAAAAAAATAATAACCTTTCAGATTATTTTGGATATATCTGCTCAACCGATTCTGAGTGCAAGAAGCCAAACATCATTTGCTCTAAATCAGGAGAGATAGGAACATGTGTATGTATGGACGGTTTCATCCGAGTAAATGGTAGTTGCAAAAAAGGTATTATAAATTTTATATTCAATTTGATTGAATTTCCTAACAAAAACATTGAATCCACGAGAGAATCTGCGACATGAAGACGTTAAACGGAAGTCGTGATATCCTTTTACGTACCATTGACTTTTTGTCAACAACTTGCGTCGTTTTATAAATTCCTGGCATGCAGAACATTAAATTAACTGAGAGACGTAAAATCCATATCCCCTTTCTTTACGTTTCACTAAAAAACTAATAGTAGCGAATTTATTGTATGTTGTTTAAGTCCCTCTCGAGAATTTTTCACTCATATGGAGACGTCACCACATGCCGATGGAGAGCTGCAACTTTTGCCCTATACTTGGCACTTAAGGCCTTTAAGCAGAAAGGGGATCTTTTTCGTGCCAGCATCTACTGTGACACGGGACCTCGGTTTATACGGTCTCACCAGAGGAATCGGTCTCAACGTCCAACAGTGGAGTTCGAACTCGCGACGTAAGAATTAACTTCGTACTTTGCAACTCTTGCGCAGACGCTCTAACCATTGCGCCACGCGGGGGATCTAACAGTAGTGAGGGAAAACATCAGAAATACTGTGCAACAATATATTTGAGAAGTGGTGTAAATTAGATGTGGATACTAGTACTTAAGAATTTCGAGGAACTTTTGGAAACTGAAATCACAAAATTTTACCAAAACCGACATCATAAATATAATGACTTTTAACTTTATATACAACCATTCACCGATATAAATCAAGGTCTAGACTACTTGCAAATGATTTTACAATGAAATGGAACTCTTAAATTTACTAACCTTGTCACTTGTTAATTGCATAATTGTCTTGTTTGAACACTCTGATTGTATACACGATTAAACAATTTAAAGAGTATTTGAAGCTGCTATTTCAAAGATCTTTGAGTGTCTGATTGATAATATCAGAGTGGGTTTTTAAGACCAACAATCTATTGGATTTAGCATGTGTATCAATCGATCCCCCGTTATAAACAGACCTGTTTTTGCATTCATAAGAAGCATAAAGTGTTCAATTTCGTATCCGTGAAAAGAAGAAAACACTTTATGTGCCCTTCAACTCGACATTATTCGATATGCAAGAGCATGCTCGACGTATGAGCAATTTCTAAAACGAGGTAAATTATTGACAAACAAGTTGATGAAACAAGAATATCAACAGTCTCGTTTAAAGTAATCATTTGGTAAGTTCTTGGTCGATACAATGACCTTATCAGCAAACACAATTTATCATCAAGTAAAATGCTGACTGACATTTTTCATACTAATTGTTAGTCCATTATATCTGTACACTGGATTGACGAAGAATTTTCCGTTATTTCCCGATTATGACAAGGAGCACACGGCGGGCGTGATCGGTCAGCAGGAAATGCTCACTCCTCCATGGCACCTGATCCCACCTCTGATGTTTTAGATGTTCGAGTTTGCTCTGCTCCTATTTTGTATTGTTTTATGGAAATTTGATATTGATTTGTTCGTTATCTCCATATCTTTCATTAGATATTATGGTAATATCCATTCTTATGTTGACACGATATGGGTCATTTTCAAAGAAAGTTCAATTTTTGAATGACATATTTTTGAAAAATGAAAGTGGTTTTACTATGATTTTTTCAACTCTATGTGAATAATACAGTAATAAACTACTAAAAACCACTGCATTGCAGAAAAGAAAATATTTCTTTTTAAAGGATATTGATATTTTATATTAGTCATTTAAACTTTAATGTCCTTCCTGTTACTTTCATAAAAAGAGCTGTAAAACTCTATTTCAAAATTTTCATCAAATAATCTTTTGTATATCGTTAAAAAATGAAAAAAATTATCATTGAATGCCGAGATGTTTGACATTCATCTAATATATGAGCGTTTAAAAGCATGTCAAATTACCATATACCAAACAAAACTTCATGAAAAACCTTATTGCGGAATGTTTATATACTATACATGCAGTTGAAAAAAACATTCTTGTACATTATTTTTGTGATTAGAATAAACAATTACAGAAAGTTATTTAAACAGGTGCTCTGCCAAAGCAATTTAAACTAGGAAAATATACTGGTAACAGTAAGGACTCAGGTAACAGGAAGGACAAAACAGTAACAGGATGGACAAAACAGTGTAACAGGGTGGACAATGAAATCTACATTTTAAATAAAAATTCACTTTTTCTAACTTTATTGGTTAAGAAAAAAGAGAGAAATGTAGAATAAAAACATGATTTTGTCAAATCCGGCAAATGCAAGACAATAAAAGACATTTATGTCCATCCTATTACGAAATTTAATTGTAAAGTGATATTAAAATATTCATCACTTCATTTTTGTTTGTTAAAGGTACTCTATGCATTTGCAAAACTAAGAATTTTTCATAATTTTAAGAGAAACAAATGATAAAACTTAAATAGGTATATAAATACCAGGATAATTTGCCCCTCCTGTTACAGTTTCTGTCTATTCTGTTACACGAGTGTATGTTTAAGTTATAATGGCACTATTTGAAGCACTAACATATTTCAATATGATTTACCAAGTTTTTTAACATGTGTTATTAAACTTATATTACTTGGAATAATAAAAGTAATTGTTTTTATTGTTAAAACTCAAGATATGAAGTCCAGTTTTCCTTACTGTTACCATGTTAATGGTAACAGGAATGACAGTAACAGGATGGGCGTTTCTCATATAAATTACCATTTCTTTGTAACTTAGTTAATCTAATTGTTCTAGCAGAATAAACAATTTAAAGAGTACTTGCATATTATGAAGGTAACAAATAGGACATATTTTCTTTATACACTACCAATAAGACAAACCTATCGACCTTTGAACCCTTTCTTTTCAAATCATGGCGCTCATAAACTTAAGACAACAGAAAATGATGATATATTGTGGATCATGAAAACAGTTCATAGGAAAGTGAGATAACTTTTATCTAAAATTTTCTTGTTGGTAACAGGAATGACATAAACTGGAGGGACATGTCACTTCCTGAATGTTAAATGCATACTAGTATTTAGTGGGTGGCATAAGTAAAACAATCGTATTAAATTAATCTGTGAATGAATTCAATTAATACGAGGTGCAAAATTTGTACATATCTACACAGGGTAATATTTTCCCTATCATTTAACAAAGCGCGTTATAAAATTTCTGTTAATGTGACATGGTTTACTGTCAAATTTTACATGGAATGCATAGAATATTTTTTATAAAACACCTGGGAGGTGATCATAAAATAACTTATAAGGTGTATGACCATGTATATTAACCAACGGGGAAAAAATTCACTCTAAAGAATATTTTTCCTATTATTCTGATCGAAAGACAAAAAGGTGAACTTTTTTTGAAAATGACCCATATATGTCGATGAGCTTGAAATAAAGGTGCCACAGGTTTTGACACATCTGTTACTTAAATGTATTCAATAATAAAATATTTTGTATGTTTTTTAAGTTGTTTAAAATCCCATATGTGTGTGCATTTGACAGCAGTAATTAAGCTTGAATTTACTAATATTTTTCCTCTACTGCTCGATATTATTTTAAAATTTCTCTCTTGATAGAAAATATTTGTAAATGTTCAGAGACTTCCACAATCAACAATGATGTATACTCAACCAACAACAACCGTAAGTGATGACCACCTTTATAAAAATCAACATGTGTAAATGGAATATATATATTTATATATATATACATGTAATTTATTATACCTCTATTGATAATACTCGAATTTGATTGGATGGTAAGAAAACTTTAAAACACAACAATGACTCCAAATGGTACTGTTTACAGCAATAATGACTTACATGTAGGAATCATTGCACGTGGGATATAATGACCCCGTCATTATTATCAATGACCGCTAAATAATGACCTCTTAATCAAAAATTCCTTTTTGAGTGAAAGTTAATGCAAAAAATAATTATTATTCGAGAAAATCAACATGTTTTTAAAATTGTGCATGGTCTGTTTTGCATTACCATACAGAATACGGTAAAATTTTATCGTTAGGCCATAGTTTTTTTATTTTCTGTTTAACGGGAAGCGCCGACCCAATTTTTTTCAAAATACCGAATAAAAATAAAAGAGGTCAATTTCACTTTTATTTTTAAAATTCGCGCCGACTGTGTCATTCATTGCTGGTTTGAAATAAAATCGGGTTTGATGTACACTTTATTTCTAATGAATCATGTAAGCGTTTGACAAAGCTTGTGATAATCAAAGTCTTTTACGAGCGTCTTGTTGATTACGATGACGTAACCAGTTTAAGGAACTAGTTTATCACACTTCGCGGGTTCTGTCAACAAGCAAGAATGTCAACTCAAGACATTTATAGACCGTTATGTGGTAATTTTAAATCCATTGATGATGAAAACAAAACGTTCTTGAAATGAGAGTTAAAGCATTGACAACCTAAATATACCAGATGCACATTGAACTGTGGAGCATGTGTCCAATTAGTTGGGGTAAATGTTGAAATAAGCTTTCTCAGTGTTTCTGTTCAATTATTCAGTGTTTGGCATTTCAATATTTTTTTAAAAAGATGTTTTCATTCTAGATTTTATTTAATCACATATTGTGCATAACAAGTTTAGGTAAAATTCGCGGTAAAATTTTACTTTACAATGAATCTTGTCTAACTATATCAGGACATAAAATTGTGATTAATACATTTTAGATACGAGTCCATATGTAATTGATTGAATAAAATGAGACTAGGATTCCTACAGAACTACAAGAGTTGCCTCTGAGTTGGTATAGAATACTGACAAGTGAAGTGACACTGGTACTGACAGCTAAATTGGAGTTGCACATATCATGTGGAAAGGTAGGGATACATGTAGAAAGAAGTGGACAATCATATATATTTTAGTGCAAAATGGACAAAGAATGATATTGTTTTTTTTATTTATCTAAGGAAAAACTCTTAAAATATTCTGTGTCTTTATTTAGAAAAGAAAATAATCTCATGTAAATATGTTTTTTTTTATCTTCTACTTTCTACCACTTGCTACATGTATTTGATTATCTAATTAATAAACTTAAGTATAATAAGGAATTTATTTTGCAGTTTGATTTCTTGGCAGAGACCCAACCATTTCTGAAGAGCTCAGAAGACTTCCAAGATGACTTTGCTGTTGTTCATCAAAAAGTTCAGCTGACAAATTTCCATTCAGAACCTCAAAAATGTGTTATCCCCTTATACTAAGATAGCATTGTCAAGTTAGCTATCAACCCCATTGCTTTTTTAAACTGTTGTTCATTCATAAAATACATGTAGCTTAAAACATTTCTTATCATGACTTTTATTAATTTTATACAATAGATAGATGATCACTTCAAGACCTGTGTAAACTTTTAAGCAGTGTACATGTGGTTTTTCTGTCATCCGTGCGTATCGAACTTTATTGTAACTATAAAATAATTTAAATTATTATAATATATTGATTTGCTTTCATATTAGGATAACTCATGCAGTTGTATCTTTTTATCCATATTTGAAATCTAAATACAGGGTAAACAAAATTGTATTGTTGTTTTCTTTCGTTTTTCAACATTTTTTATGAAAAAAAAAATTCAAACCATTTTTGGGTTTTATTTTTATTATGTCCCCGACTCGACAAATTTTTACCTTTTATTTTTATTTTTATTTCGTCCCCTCGACCCAACTTTTTCTTTAAAATTCCCGTTAAACAGAAAATAAAAAAACTCTGGCCTTAACTTAAACGGTTTACTCATTTCAAAATATCGTTACAATATTCAGTTCAATGGAACGTAGAAGCGACTCTTTATAGAGTTGAATTCTTTGTTAGATTTTGACTGTGTAGAGGAAAAGTAGTCGCTAGTTATAACATTGTATGTCGCTATAAACCAAATATTGTTTTAATCAGTAAATCATGATGCAAAAACTTACAGGACTTGCTATACGGAGTGTAGCGAATCCCGATCCCGATCAAAGAAAGAATTGATAACGGTTATCTGAGATTCATACTTTTCAATATAAATCGGTATAATAAAACAATTAATTACCCCTTGTGAGTTCCACATGGTGAAATAAGGACACTCGACCTGGCCCATTCGATGACCTGCCCTGACCTCGGTCAGGGTAGGTCACCTCGTGGGCCAAGTCTCGGGTCCTTATTTCACCATGTTGACCTCAAATAGGGTAATTAATTGTATGATATAATACTAATATTCTAGGCAAAAAAGAATCTACGACGCTTGGGCATCAGATTGGAACATATGGTATGTACTCAGAACATCATTTTATCGTAACTACCAACGAATAATTTGTCTAATAAGTCCAGACCCCTTGACCATAAGGCGAGAATATACTTAAGTCAAAATTTTAAATCTGAATAACTTAAGTTTCATAAAATATATTTTCTTTAAATTTTGCAGTTATGTATAATATTCAAATTCCAACAAATGATGCAAATTTATTTTCATTATTATTTATTTTTTCAAAAGTTATCTTGATTGAAAATTTGACTTAAGTCTATTCTCATTTCATGGTCATGTGACCAGAATAAAAAAAAACTGAAATATTTCTAAGTTGAAGATCAAGTAAAATTTCCTTTATTTATGTTTCATAAGTATATTTTATGAAGATGTAGTTGCTTTAGCCTAGTACCCGAGGCCTTCCGAGTGCAAGCACGAAGCTTGCACTCGGAAGGCCTCGGGTACTAGGCTAGTAGTTGCTTGAAACCTGAAACACTGATAAATACATGGAAGTATTCAATTTTTTTACTCTCATTGTAACGCCCGCTTTTTTATTGGCTAAACAATAACATGTAGTTAAATCTGTATAACCTGGGTTGCCTAAGTCACAATGACTTATGTCAAAAACATATCAATCCGTGCGATGTTCCATTTAAAATTGTGCAATGAAATGTCATCTATGACGCGAAATTGTTTTTTTTTTCTGAATAACGTTATAAAGATTGAGTTAAATAGCTACCAAAATTATAAGGTATAAAAGGGTTAGACCAGTTTAAGTTTTTATATATACATAAACTACTTCGCTGTGTATACAGTTTCAACCCCAAACCAAGATTATATTCTATAACTTGCCTATTGAGTAGTTATTAAATTCATTCCTTAAAAATCGAAAAATTTACAGACGTTCTTACATGCTTCTGTATTAATTCTTAAGATGACGTATTTACAAAAGAAATACTACATGTATCAGAGGACACACATAATATAACAATACTGATGGTTGGAGTCGGTCTTGGATCCTTTATTCTCGGTGCTGTCCTCAGTCTCGGTATCGTCTTCATCGTTAGAAAATGTAGAATCCAAGGAAATCAGAACAAGTAAAGCGAATATCTTTTTTTACAAAAATCAGATTTGTTTATAGGAACCAAGAATTGGTTAAGTAATCTGAAATTTCTAAAAGTTATTGCTAGTAATATTCTTATTACATGATAAAGAAAACAATGTAAAATATTTTTTCCTGCTTCAAGAACTTTTGCATTGTTATCATTTTTTAAAATCTATATGTATAAAATATGAAACCTTAAGGGATGTATAAAACAATTTGAACTGCTGATATTAAAATTCTATTTTCTGGAATTTTTTGCATTTTTTTTTTCAAGAAAATGAAATTGTATCGAATAATTGTTTTAGTGATTTAAAGAGCAACGTCAACAACCCCATCTATAACAAATACATTGAAGGTAGCGAATCTAGTCGAAGAGGAAATGTTCCTGATAAGGTAGTTTTTAGTTAGATACATGATGTTATGATTTTTTCGCTCGATACACATAATTAAAAAAAAAATTCCAAACTTTTATGAATAAAGACATATTTATTTCTAGCTATAACAGATGTAGCTCTATTATTTAAACTAACAGGTTTCTACAATGCCTATTGCCGAAACGAACACTGCCTATTCCGAGGTAAAAATACTTTCGGACAATACAGGTGATATCTACAACCATCTTCATGAACAAGTTACTTCTGATACAGCTGGCTTAGACAGCGACTACGACCATGCCAAGCCTTTAAAGGAACAGCTTAGTACAGACAGAGAATACAGCCATCTCACTTCAAAAATCGACTCGGAGGATTTCAAATCAAACCAACAATCAGCAGAAATAGAGGAAAACGCAGATGAAAATGCCAAGCCTTTAAAGGAACAGCTTAGCCCTGACAGAGAATACAGTCATCGCACCTCGAAAATCGACTCGGAAAATGTCAAATCAAACCAAGATGTTCAACAATCAGCAGAAATCGAAGAAAACGCAGATGAAAACAATGATAATTACTTTACATTGGAAAAAATAAATTAAGATTACTGTCAATATATTTGACCAATCGATTGCATTGCTCTTTTTGTAATTGTAGTTTTGACACGTATTTTCAGGCTTTGACACGTATTTTCAGGCTATCTTCTAACTGTACTTTTGATCAGCCATTGTTTTCAAATGATGAGTATAAGATAATATTTTTTTATTTTTATTAATTTCATATGATTCTTTAATGCTGCAAAATGTTAACATTTTGTAAAGATATGAAAAAAATATATTTTCAGTTATAAAGTGATATAATATTTGTCGTGAGACACGGATGTTTACACTTCACAAGAGTCAATAGATGAATTTTATGTAATCTGTTAAATCTTCTATCTATTTTTTGTTCGATTAGGTTTGTCTGTCTTTTTAAGGAAGCATAAATAACTCTATGCTTGCTGTGTTACATTTCAGAAATAATGTCCCCATTTTCATGAATATTGCAGGGTAATCTTGAAGTAAAAAATTTTGTTTGAAAGATAAAAGTCGAGGCGTTAGCCAATGCTTTTATATTCTAAACATATTTTTGAGACAAAGGAGGTTAACCTGCATCATTAACGATCGCCAACAAAGATTTCATTTCAATTCTACTAACAGCTATAATATTTCTAATCGTTTCCTCTCTAGAGAAAAGAATTAAGTCACTATGACGCAGTAACGCCATTACATTTTACACTGAGTGGCATTTGAATTTGTCTGGATTGCAGTAATGCAAACGATTTGAGAATTGAAGAGAAAGTTGAAACATATATTGTTTGATATTATTGAACGTCAAAGAAGAAAATCAGTTGTCAATTACAGTAAGAAGGATATGGAGATAACGAAAAGTATTCAATATCAAAGTCCATAGAACAATACAAAATAGGAGCAGAGCAAACACGGACCTCCGAAACATCAGAGGTGGGGTCAGCCCGTTCAGGTGCCATGGAGGAGTGAGCATCCCGTGCTGACCGGTCACACCTGCCGTGTGCTCCTTGTCGTCATCCGGAAATAACGGTAAAATCCGTCGACAATTCAGTGTATAAATAACGGACTAACAATTAGAATGAAAAACGTCAGTCAGTATTTGTCTCAATGATAAATTGTATTTGCTGACAAGGTCATTGTATCGACCATAGAATTTACGAAATGATGACTTTAAACGAGAATGTTATTTTTGTTTCATCAATACGTAGAGCATGCTCTTGCGTATCGAATCAACTGAGATATATGTAAGACTCTGAAGTCCGATGGTGACGCCAAAGTCCGATGGTCTCGCAAACCCAGACGGTCTGCGCCAAACCCCGATGGCTCATTGTCTTTACGGACGCCAAAGTCCGATGGTCATGCCAAAGTCTGATGGCTTGTTTTCTATGAGACGCTCGACGCTAAAGTGCGATGGTCTGACACGCCAAAGTCTGATGGTGCGGAGGAACACTTAGCGTTTATGTCGTCACAATAATCCGGCGTCATGACGTTATTCTGCATTCAAAATCCATTGATTCAGTATTCGTCTCACAATACATTTTTACTGATAATGCTTTTTGTTTTTACCCACCAGAGGTATTAGGGTTAGTCTTCGTACACCATTCAATAAGTTATAAGGGTCAGTCCTTTTGTACACTAATGTGTTTCTCCGAACCCACCCGAAAGATTTTAGGGTTAGTTCAAGCACATTATTGGACTGATTTAGATTAGTCCTGCACCCACCTATGATATTTAGGTTAGAGTTGATACTCATTGTTCAACTGATAAGTCTTAGTTTCGCACCTACATCCAAAAGACGAGGGTTAGTCTTTGTACTTATGATATTTGGCATCGCATTTTTGCGCAGTAGTACTATGACGTCATAAACGTTAATTGTTTTCTGCGCCATCGGACTTTGGCGTGTCAAACCATCAGAGTTTGGCGCAGACCATCGGACTTCGGAGTCCCATCGCACTTTGGAGTCCTACATATATACATGTACACTCCGTATGCAGGTGATAAAGGTATATTCCTGGATAAGTTAGGGAAGCTGACGATAGATAGAAAATTTGAAGTTATCATGTTTATCATATTGCTTGGTTTTTAGATTACTATTAACGTCTTTTTCAAGTAAATATCCAAGTATGAAACAGATGTGTCAGACTTTGTGGTATCTTTTATATCAAGCTCACCAGGATATAGCGTATCGATATAGGAATGTAAATTACCATTGTTAATTGACAATACGTAGTCGATATATCTAAGTGTCGAGTTGAAGACCACAGTAAGTGTTTTTCCTCCTTTCACGCATTAGATTTTGCACAAATTCTGCTTCATATGAATATAACAAGAGGCATATGGGCCACATCGCTCAAATGAGTAACTTGGGTGATGCAGTTCTTTACCAGATTCCCCCTCTTGCTATACCTATCATGCCCCACTACCCCCTTCCCTTTTATGATTTTAAAACTTTAGAATCTACACTACCCCAGGATGCTTCCATATAAGTTTCAGCTTTCCTGGCCCAGTGGTTCCTGAGAAGAAGATTTTTAAAGATTTGTTCTTTATTTTTCTCTGTAAAACTTGGATTCCCTATTGTGGCCCCGCCCTATCCCCGGGGTCATTATTTTTACAATTTAATATCTGCACTACCTAAATATGCTTCCACATAAGTTTCAGCTTTCCTGGCCCAGTGGTTCTTGAAAAGAAGATTTTTAAAGACTTGTTCTATATATTTCTATTAAATTTGGGTTCCCTATTGTGGCCCCGCCCTACCCCCGGGGGTCATGATTTTAACAATGTAATATCTACACTACCCAAGGATGCTTCCACATAAGTTTCAGCTTTCCTGGCCCAGTGGTTCTTGAGAAGAGGATTTTTAAAGATTTGTTCTATATATTTCTATGTAAAATTTGGTTTCCCTATTGTGGCCCCGCCCTACCCCCGCGGGTCATGATTTTAATAATTTAATATCTACACTACCCAAGAATGTTTTCACATAAGTTTCAGCTTTCCTGGCCCAGTGGTTCTTGAGAAGATTTTTTATTGACCCCACCCTAATTTTATCTTTTCTTTATTGTCTCCCCTTGTAAGGGAACTTGGCCCTTCATTTTTACAATTTAAACTCCCCTTTACCGAAGGATGCTTTGTACCAAGTTTGGTTAAAATTGGCCCATTGGTTCTTGAGAAAAAGTCGAAAATTTGAAAAGTTTACAAACGGACGGACGGAGAGACAGACGGACAGACGACGGACAAAATGTGATCAGAAAAGCTCACTTGTGCCATCGGCTCAGGTGAGCTAAAAATATGCCTGCTAATAACGGAGCACAATTGGTACCCTTGGGTATTCCAATAGATTGTTGGAAGACCTGGTCTTTAAAAACCACATAGATATTGTCAATCAGAAACTCAAGCATCTCTTTTATGTCAACTTCAGAGTACTTGTGTGTGCTATCAGAATGTGTTTTAATAAAATAATTTTGCAAATGACCAGTGACTAGGTAGGTGAAATTACGAGTTCCATTTTTATTGAAAAAGCAGCTGTCAATGATATCAAAAAGCCTGAACTTTTATTTATCGTGGGGAATGGTTGGGCATAAAGTTAAAAAATCGTATTTTTTAAGCTGTTGATTTTGGTAAAACAAAGAGTGTAAATGTTGTCGGGAGGTCAGTGGAACAGGCCAACTTAGCTGTAAAACCGACATGTTAAAGTCGTTCTAGTCAATATACCCTCTATGGACTGTGAAAGACGACATATCGGTATTAACTGTATATAAGTATTAGATTGTAGTGTAATAGAATATTTTATTTGAACAGTACAAGTCTGATTTGGGCTTACGATCTGATAATTTTTTGATGACGTTACGATTTATTGGAGAATAATGTCCGCATCATATCTTAAATCACAGCAATAACAGTCACTCTAGTGTTGTCAATGACATCATATATGCTGTTATGACCTCTTATTATACCCCTGCTTGGTTAAAATTGGCCCATTGGTTCTTGAGAAAAAGTCGAAAATTTGAAAAGTTTACAAACGGACGGACGGAGAGACAGACGGACAGACGACGGACAAAATGTGATCAGAAAAGCTCACTTGTGCCATCGGCTCAGGTGAGCTAAAAATATGCCTGCTAATAACGGAGCACAATTGGTACCCTTGGGTATTCCAATAGATTGTTGGAAGACCTGGTCTTTAAAAACCACATAGATATTGTCAATCAGAAACTCAAGCATCTCTTTTATGTCAACTTCAGAGTACTTGTGTGTGCTATCAGAATGTGTTTTAATAAAATAATTTTGCAAATGACCAGTGACTAGGTAGGTGAAATTACGAGTTCCATTTTTATTGAAAAAGCAGCTGTCAATGATATCAAAAAGCCTGAACTTTTATTTATCGTGGGGAATGGTTGGGCAT